TTCTACTGTGTTACATTGGGACCCAGGCCTTCAACAGAAGAACTTTTAGGGGATACCCAGCTGTGTCCAAACAATATTGGGACAGTTCAGTTTAGGGGTTTGGATGGAAGATAGCGTGTAAGATGGCCATGATGATTGTAGACATTGGTAGCAGGGCAGGGATGTGGGCTGAGCTATGGTATCTCCTCTGTGTTCTTTCTTTTAGCACTCTTAGCATAATTTACCAGATCTTTCTAGCTCCCAAGATCTGACATGTAGGAAGTGCTCAGTATTCATTAAATGACAGTTGATTTTTTTTAAAAAAGAGATATAAATAGGGTATTTCTTAGTCTACCTATTAAAAGAAATGTCATGTCCTAGGATTTACATTTTGAATATAGTGAAAGATATGATTACCACATCCTTCGGTTTTGTCAGTCCTGGGTTAGTGTGTTTTGGTTATTGTCATTACATTTTAGAGACATTCCTTTCAAGGCTAAGGATTGACAGTATAAGCAACTGAACTGTTCAATTAATTAACATTTTAAGGGACACCAAAGGTCACAGCCCTGGTGACTGCAGTTGGCTTACTCATTTTGGACCACACTTCACTTCTGTATGCTTCATTGCATGTAGGTCTGTGTTAGGATTACAGTTCCTGATGTGTAAAAAGCCCTGGACCTGACAGTGCCAGTAGCACAAAGATGAGTAAGAGGCATCCTTTCAGGAGTTGTCATCTGGCAGATACCGTGATGACACACTGCAGCAAGATTGAAGTCATCATGCTTGGGGAATTGGGTTGCCAGGGGAGGAGAGTCCTGATGTACAGGTGGACCTTGCAGGAGTCAGTAGAAGGTACAGAGGTTTGCTAGGTGCTAGGTCCTGTTCTGTGCATTATATGTATATAGGTTTTTTCCATCCTTTTAACAACCATGTAAAATTGTGTTACCTGTGTTCTTAAGAAGGAAACTGACATGAGAAGAAGTAACTTATTCAGGGGTGTGCAGCTGATGAATGGTACCAATACTGTAACGGACAGTCTAATTGCATAGTAAGTACTGTAAATTCTGTCCTGGAAAGAGACTTAGATGGATGAATTAAGGCTTGTAGACTTGTAGGAAGTACACGGGAAAGCCACAGTGATCAAATACACAGAGGTCCAGAAGGAGGTAATTGTTGCAATAGTCATAGCCAGTATTTGCACAGGGTCCTGCCTCTGTGCTCATGCATTTGGTGGGCTGTTGTATTTGTTATTCAGTGGGCAGTGGTGGGCATTGGTCCCTCCCCTGTATCTTCAAGCTGTCTAGAGTTTTGGGATTTATTATGCCAGTTTTTGAACATGCTTATCCCTTTGTCTTTGCTGTCCTGTGTCCATCTCTCCATTCTCTTTCCTTACCTCCACAATTACATTGTTGGAAAGATTGTTGGGAAGTCACCTCACAGTTTCTGTTTTTAACTCGCTTTCGGCTCCTTACTGACCTCCCTAACTGGTCCCGCACCATTGTGCCACCCAGAACTGCCCTCATTGAGATGGGTGATGCCTGGCCCATTGCTCTTTCTGGTAAGGACTTTTCAGGCTTATCTTAGCCAGCAGTTTTCAGCCATGGGTAATTTTGCTGCTCAAGAGATAGCTGGTAGTGTCTGCAGATGTTTGGATATTATAGTTGAGGAAGCAGTGCTACTGGCAGCTGCGATAGATGGTAGAAATGTCATTAGACATCTCTACAGTATACACAGTAGTTTCTCATACAAGGAATGATCCAGCCCAACTTGTCAGTACTACAGAAGTTGAGAAACACTGATCTTGCTTGGCATTTTGGCACATTGCATAATCCTCCATTATGATTGCCTTGACATAATTCCCTCCTAACTGGACTTCCATGAATTTGCAGTTTCTTTCCTACCAGCCTTAATGTCACTCCTTGCTTCTTTTCTCATTTCTGCTCATTCCTTACATCCCTCTTGGGCATCTCACGGGTCCCAGGGATTTCATTTTTGTTGCTAGCTATAATTCCACATTGGTATTTTCAGCTTGAACCCTTCTTTTTTTTTGTATTTTTTTGAGAAGGGTCTACAAGGGTTTTCAGGGTCTCACTGCTGGATCGGACTCATAGTGATCCGCCTGTTTACAGCCTCCCAAAAGCTGGGATTACAGGAGTGCACCACCACGCCCAGTCTCAGTTGCTGTCTCAGTGTACCCTGGGAGTGGGACTGGCATGGCAGGCCCCTGTGCCTGCACCTGCTTGCAGGTGCTTTAATCCACTGAGCTATTTGTCCAGCCCACAGCTTGAACACTCTTGAGCTCCAGATATGTTCCTATATTTCTCCTCTTCAGTGGTATACAGACTCTTCCAGTTCAGCAGATCCCAGACGGGCAGCCAGATGTCATCTACTGTGACATCTTCCCCTCCCATTTCTATCCTTAAGAATCTTTTGTGCTAAGAGGAATCTGATACTGCTGTAAGCTCCGGCATTCTCCTTCTTGCCTGAGCCCTTTCCTTCTAGTTTGTGTGCTTCAGGGATATGTTTGAAAACAGAACTCTTGAGCCTTTACAACATCTATGTCTGATACCCTGTGCACAGAACCTGGAATCTTTGTCATTAAGCTCTATGGCTACCAGATGGGAGGAGTGATACTGCCCTACATAGGAGCATTTTGAAAATGTTACAAACTTTGGGGTTGTCATGGGAAGGAAGGGTAGGTGAGTGCTATGCATAGTGCTTAGGAAAAGTTAGTGAGGCTGACTTTCTGTAGTAACACTGGGTGATGCCCCTGTATAAAGAATCATCCAAATGCCAATATATAGTGCCCTTGTCAAGGTGTGGCACAGTTTTAGCTTCTGCCTAGAGCTTAGAAGAGAAATAGTGAGCACTACTCCTTTGAAGTACTTATTTTGGGGATCAGGGAAGCCTGTTGTTTTGCTCTGTGTGGTGCCTGCCCTTGTCATCTCCAGGCCCCAGTCCTCTTTCCACACAGTTGGTAGCTGCTGGTTTGGAAATGTGGACTGTGGTCTCTGTTCTTGACTTGCTGGTGCCGTCTCTGCTGTTCTTGCACAGCCAGACTCTCAGCTTCCCACTTGGGCCCCTATTTGGTTAGTTTTGCCATTTCTGCTTTAGATTCCTGGCCACCCCATTACACAGTTTTTTTCTACAAATAAAAATATTCCAGGCCAGCCAAATAGCTCAGTGAATTAAAGGGCCTACAAGCAGTTGCAGGGACTGGGGGTGTTCATCCCCAGGCCTGCTGTGCCAGCCCTACCCCCAGGGCATGCTGAGATAGCCATTGAGACTGGGAGTGGTGGCGCACACCTGTAATCCCAGCTCTTGGGAGGCTGTAAACAGGTGGATCACTGGGAGTCTGATCTAGTAGTGAGACCCTGAACACCCTGTAGACTCTTCCCTAAAATGGAAAAAAAAAAAAAAATTTCCAAGTTGTGGTGTAAAGATTCAGCTACTGATAAGAACATTCATGACTAATTTCGCACTAGCAAAAATTACCTACAGGGTATTATTCTAAACTCTGTATAAGCATTTCTTATTTAAGGTAGTGCCTGCAATTTATACCCATTTGTAATTCAGTAGTTGAAAATTAAAGTATTGCCAGTCTGCTTTTACTCAGCTGGTATTTCATGGTACTGGGATTTAGACCTGCTTTCTCTGCCCCTTACTTTTAAAAGTATATTTTTTAAGCAGTTTTAGATTCTCACAGCAAAATTGAAACAGTTTCCATCTGTCCTCCTGCATCTACACATGTATAGCTCTCCCACCATGAGTCTTGTCAGAAGAATAGTACATATGTTCCAGTCAGTGAACCTACATGACATACATTGTCTGTCACATACTTATGATTCATTCTTGGTGGTGTACCCTCGGTGGGCTTTGACAGATGTGTAATGACAGGCCTTTGCCAGTATAATATATAAAATAGCTTTACTGCTCTAAAAAATCAGTTCTCTTACCAGTTTACTTCTTCCCCTGGTAACTACTAAGTTTTTTTCAGTACCAGGGATTGAACCCAAGACTTTTTCACTAAGGTACATAACCAGGGCCTTCTTACTGAACTGTACTTCCAGCCCTTTTAAAATTTTGTGACCAAGTCCCGTTAAGTTGTTTTAGTGGGACTTAAAACTCTGTCTTCCTGACACAGCTTTTCTCATGAAGGGATTATAGGTATGTGCCACTTTGTCTGGGGTTGCTACGACTGCTTCCATACTGTTTCCATCACATGCCTTGAGTTATCATTGAGAAGCAGGAGGAGTGCTATGGAGTTCAATCTCCACATATGATAATGCTTCTTAAGCAGTGGGTTCCTTATGCTATCATGTTTTCCTTTTTTCCTGGGAACCTGCCTGGCTGTTTGGAGAACACGTGTGTAGGACACATGCTTACAATAATATAGAAACATTTTCTCATTTGTTACCTGAGTAATTTCAGCGAACTCTGGGTTTTTTCCTTCACAACTTGGCAGTGGAATTCTGTGTAGACCAGTGGTTAGTATGACCAGACAGCCCTGCCATTGGGTATGAGACCACTGGGTACAAGAGAATTGGTGATGAATGTGAGGCTGGTCTATTTTATAGTCTCTGTACGGTATTTAGGACAACTATAGCCTGTGATAAAGGGTTTGGAGGGCATTTGTGGAGATGCCAGAACTAGCTTGGTTATGCAGCTTCATACTGTTTTTCACTTCCTGGGAATGATTCATTTTTAAAGAAATCTTGGAACTATCTATCATTACACCCACGACTTAGGAACACCTTATGTCACACTGAAGCTGGTACAACACACAATTGTGCTGTGAAAGATTTGGACTTTTTGAAGGTTGTGTGTTTGTTTTTTGACAATAACTGATAGCAAATAAATGCCCCTGGGATAGAATCCTAGAAGAAAAAAATGGCAGATATTTTTATTTCAGTCTGGTGTTTATTGCAGTGAGGGCACACCTCTGGAGTGAATGGGTAACACTAGTAGCTTCGCTTTCTGCACACTCAGTCTCTCTTTGTGTTTCTCTCCCAGAAGCCCCTTGCGCCACGCCTCTGATCTGCAGCTTCGGCAGGACCGTGGACCTGGAGAAGGACGACTACCAGAAGGTGGTGTGCAACAACGAGCACTGCCCCTGCAGCACCTGGATGCACCTGCAGTGCTTCTACGAATGGGAGAGCAGCATCCTGGCCCAGTTCAATTGCATCGGCCGGGCCCGCAGCTGGAATGAGAAGCAGTGCCGCCAGAATATGTGGACCAAGAAGGGCTACGACCTGGCCTTCCGCTTCTGCTCCTGCCGCTGTGGGCAGGGCCACCTAAAGAAGGACACAGACTGGTACCAGGTGAAGCGGATGCAGGACGAGAAAAAAAAGAAGTCTGGGTTAGAGAAGAACACAGGGAGGCCCCCAGGGGAGGCTGCAGAGGAGGCAAAAAAATGCAGGCCCCTGAACAAACCCCAGAAAAGCTTGAACCATGACCTCCCCCGACGACATTCCATGGACCGGCAGAACTCCCAGGAGAAGGCGGTCAGCACCACTGCCTTTGGTGGCCGCTCCCCTTGTGGTTCCCCTGGTCAGTCCCCACCCACTGGCTACTCAATCCTCTCTCCTGCCCACTTCAGCGGTCCCCGCTCCTCTAGATACCTTGGGGAATTCTTAAAGAATGCCATTCATCTGGAACCTCATAAAAAGGCCATGGCTGGGGGCCATGTGTTCAGAAATGCCCACTTTGATTATAGTGCTGCTGGATTGTCTGTTCATAGGGGGGGACACTTTGACACCCCTGTACAGTTCCTGCGGCGGCTGGACCTCTCTGAGCTCCTCACTCACATCCCCAGGCATAAGCTAAACACTTTCCATGTGCGGATGGAAGACGATGCCCACATGGGCCAGGGCGAGGATCTGCGGAAGTTCATTCTTGCAGCCCTCAGTGCCAGCCATAGAAACGTTGTAAATTGTGCTCTGTGCCACCGGGCACTTCCTGTCTTCGAACAGTTCCCACTGGTGGATGGAACTTTGTTCTTAAGTCCCTCAAGACATGATGAGATTGAATATGATGTTCCTTGTCACCTTCAAGGTATAGGTGTTGATTCACCTTGCCTATTTTCTGTTTGTTAAATCCCAAAAAGCAAATGGGGAGTTGATCTAGTTGCATATAATTTAAGCTGACGTGTTTTTGTTCTAGTCAGGTGTTAGATAACATGAATATTTCAGTCTTTCCCATTGAGGTGGTTGTGATTTTTGTACTGATGTCACTATACCAGTAAAGTTGGCCCAGTGGGTAATTTTATGTTCTTTTCCTGCTCTAATTTGAAAAGAGCAGTTTTTCGTAACGGGGAGGAAATTCAGGAAAATAAATTGCATAAATCTTGCTGAAAAATAGTTGCTTTTGAATCCTGCTTTGTTGTGCCCAGCAAGTTATGTATTTCTTTGATTCTTATAAACGTAACAGTGAGGGTAAGTAGGAGAAAGGAAAGGCCAGTATGTTTTTAGCTTAGTTGAATTAATTTTGAAAATATGACCGATAGGAAAAATGGGGGATTATTGGAAGTGCAGACGTTACCTTTGTTACGGTGATGAGGGAGAGTGGGTAAGCTTTTATGGATGATGTAGAAGAACTTGGACACATTTCAGCCATAAATGGAAGGATAGGGGTTGATTTTTACAAGTGTGAAATTTCTTATTATAAAACTACTGACGTTCCTAAAGCTGATATGCATGACATACAACATGTTCGTAACTTTAAAATTATGATTTAAAAGCCAGTAGTGATAATGCTATATCTCCACTTGACTTAGTCCCCAGAGACAGTTTAAATTTTAAAAGATTCAAATTTTTAATGTTATAATTTTAAATCCCATATCTTCATTTTCCAATTTTAGATATATCTTGACTGACTTTTAAGGTGGGTGATTATATATTTCCCTTCTTTCAGGAAAGTGTCAGTTATCACAATTCTTGGTTGAATCTGTAATGTTTTGATATTGTATGTAAATACTTGTGTTGAGCTAAGACGTATGGTTGGTTATATTTCCTGTTAACAGTACATTTCGGGTCACCTTTCTTCATTAGAGTTCATTTCTTCATGTTTTCATTGATTTATTCTGTTGTTTGTGTTTGGTAGTGTTGGGGTTGAGCCCAGGGCCTTGTGCACGGTGGGCAAGTCCTCTATCACTGAGTTACATCCCTAGCTCTGCTCAAAATTTTTTTTTTTTTTTATTTAAGACCTTTATTAACAGGTGCTTGCAGTTTGTTGACTTTTTTGAAAAAATCAAGTTGTAAACTTTTATTACAAATTAAAAATGAAGTTCTTAAAAATCTCAACTTGACCAGATATGAAACAATTTAAAAACCTTTAAAGGTGTATTGAGAAAAACCAGGCTTTTTTAAAAA